ATAATCCTAAGGTCTGCCACCCAGGCTCAAAGGGAACTAAGATATTTCATGCTAGAAACTTCCGTGTGCAGCCACAAGCTATTATGGTCTCTAGCATAGTTGAGTAAGTTGCATGACCTCTTCTAGTGGTAGGCTAGTAGATGTAGAGGGATGTAGGTTGGTACTGTCTACCCAGGGTTAGAGCTAATGTTTCTAAAAGATTGTGTCTCGGTCATCCATTTCTCAAACACTAGGTAGTGCGAGAAATCCCACAGAGGAGATCGAGTCTTGTGGGGAAAAGTGTGTGAACCTCTGCAGAGTGTACAAACTAATCATGGTTAGCCGTGTCCCCGGTTATGGACATCTTGAGTATCTAGTACTTGGATTATCATATGTATCTCATCACTCTAAATTAATATTGTTGGGTTTATAATTACCTTTAATTAGGATTGAGTTGGAGGAACCTTCTCAATGATGTTTCAACTACCATGATAGTTAAATAAAATCTATTCCTTTGTTGTAGGGAGAAATTGGCTTTTCGCAAAACTTTAACCATAGAGCTTTCCACCAGCCAAATATGCATGTAGTGATAGCATAAAATCTATTCAGTTCTTGCTCTACCGTGTTATTTTGCCAGCATATTCCATGTGCTGACCCGTTTCGGGCCGCAACATATTATGTTGCAGACTTTTCAGATGAGGAGTAAGGTTCGTTAGGTCATTGCCGTGCAGCTCAGTTATGCCATTGGAGTTGATGGACTCACTTTATCTTCCAAGCCTTCCGCTGTTATTGTATTAGATGGCCTTAAGCCATATTTATTGTAATAAGTTCTCTTTTGAGACATTCGATGTAATAAGTGTGTGATTGCTACTCTGTTATAAATCCTTCGAGTATTGTGTGTGTCAGCATTACCGATCCAGGGATGACACTGAAGCACAGATACTTGACCGTCTGAGGTCGGATCGCTACAAGATGGTATCAGAGCACACGCTGGGTGTAGGACATGACCACTAAGTTAAAGCCCTTGATCACTACTCTCTTCTCATTTTTGACTCCTCTCCATTTTCTACTCTTTAGGATGGCAGACGCAAGGAACAAGTATGCACAACCGGATGAAGAAGCACCTTTTGGACGACACTTGAAGGAAGTCACTAAGTACCTGAACATTTGAATACCAAGCTTCACCGGGACTTACAACGCCACTTTACCAGAAGAGGAGCGATGGATGATTCAAGTTCAAGTTCCAGGAAGGACATTCACGCCAGTCACTGAGCCCATCGAGTTTACCTTTGATGCACCAACCTGGAGTCTAGGAAAGAGTATGGCAGCTGACATCACCATGGGACGCATTGGAGAAGTTTACCATAAGGAGCTTAAGGATACTATCTATCAGATTTGTGGGCGCCGAGATGATCAATGGGAGATGATCAGTACCAGGAAGGATAGATCAATTGCAGCTTTCATCCAGGACTTAAACCAACACATTCGTCGCCAGGAGAACCAGATGTGTGCAGGCATGATAGATCTGAAGAAGGCAATGACAAGGATCACGAAACTGGAGGAAGAACTCAAGGCTACTCGCGAATATTATGAGGAGTAAATCGTCGTACTAGTGGAGAAGAATGACGATCTAGAAAGGAAGCTAGGAGTATTCATGGGAGACCCCGCGCCAGGAGGAGAAGACGATGAACCCAAGGAGATTTGTTCTGAAGACTACATCCTCATCGACAACACCAACTCGGACCCCGATGATAGCGATGATGACTATGAAGACGAAGCTAGAGCAGACATCATGGAGTCTTCGACCGATCAATATTTCTAGTAGACCACCACATCAGTAGTAGTGTTCCACCATGTATATAGTATAGTCCGAGCACTTTTCTAATGATAGTTAGATCAATTGTATGCCCTTGCTTGATTGATTGAGTGATATGATTGTGTTTGTCTCGTGTGCATATGGGTAGTGTTTTTCTCACTAGACCTCATTCTATTCAATTCTCTTCCCTCTAAACCCTCAGATGCCTCCGAGATGTGACCCCGGATTTACCTTCCCACCGGAGCTCACTTAGTTGATCCAACAGCAGAATACACTGATGCAGTTGTTAGTTCAGAACCAAGGCAACAACAACAACAACCCACCACCACCACCAGTTGATAACTTAGCCCGCTTTCTGAGGTTGCAGCTGTCGGTGTTTTCCAGTAGCACCGAGCCGATAGTGGCAGATGATTGGCTCCGCAGGATTGGAAGGGAGTTAACCACTGCAGGATGTACAGATGTTGAGAAGGTGCATTTTGCCGCACATCATTTGGATGGACCAGCAGCCTCATGGTGGGAGAATTACACAGTCAGCTACCTTATAGCCACTGTTACATGGGATCAGTTTCAGCAAGCATTCTGCACCGCCCATGTCTCAACGGGAGCTATGAGCATGAAGAAGCGTGAGTTTTGCAACTTGCGCCAAGGGAACCGTATTGTGGGGCAGTACGTGGATGAATTTAGTGAGCTGTCTTGTTATGCCCCTGACGATGTGGCCACAGATGCCGCGAAGCAGGAGAAGTTTATGGAAGGGCTAAACGATGAGATCAGCATGCAATTGATGGTGGCAACCTTTAACAACTAACAGGAGTTGGTAGACAAGGCTCTTATGATTGAAGGGAAGCAGCAGCAAATTGGGAGCCGCAAAAGGAAGTATGGACAAGGAAGGTAACTCAGGAGTTCAGCAGAAGCCTCGTTTAACCCCGAATTCGGGAGGACTTGTTCATAACCATGGAGGTCATAACCACAATGGAGGAAGTTCGCATAACCACAATGGTTCCAAGAATGTGGCTGGGAACGGAGTAAGCAACAATCAGAACCACTCCAGTCCAGCCACACCCGCCAAGAGAGACCTAAGTCACATTACTTGCTTCAAGTGCGGGAAGACTGGACACTATGCCATGGAGTGCCCTGAAGCGAAGAATGGAAACGGTAATGGGAGCGCTGGGAAGAAGCCCAATCCATTCAACAAAGGACAAGTGAACCACATTAACATGGAGGAGGTTGAAGGGCAGCCAGACGCAGTTATCGGTAAGTTTTTGGATAAGTCTTTTACCGCCCTTGTTCTTTTTGATACTTTTGCATCACATTCATACATATCAAGGATAAGTTTAAACTACCAACCCAAGCCCTTAGGACCCCTTTGTTAGTAAGTTCCCCTGGAGCAGAGTATATGGCTAGCCGATGGTGCGACCGGATACCCTTAACCATTGGTAGCCATGTTTTTCTGTCAGACCTGATAATTTTGGAGTCACAAGGATTGGATGTGATATTAGGCATGGACTGGATGTCAAAGTATGGAGGAAGCATTGACTGTGCTAGTAAGTCGATTTATCTCACCACCTCGGAGGGAAAAAGGATCAAGTATGTATCTAGGCATGCGCCTAGGAGGAGCCAAGTAAATACCCTCACGGGAGTTGTTCAGGAGGAAGTGTCTGTAGTGAAGGATTACCCAGATGTTTTTCCAGAGGAGTTACCAGGCATGCCACCGGATCGAGACATCGAGTTTTTGATAGAGCTATTGCCAGGTACAGGGCCAATATGAAAGAGACCCTACCGGATGCCCGCAAATGATCTGGAGGAGATTAAGAAGCAGATCAAGGAGTTATTGGAGAAAGGTTACATCTGACAGAGTTCATCACCATGGGGAGCCCTAGTGCTTTTGGTTGAGAAGAAGGATAAGTCTCTAAGGATGGTTGTTGATTATCGTGCATTGAATGAGGTGACAATCAAGAACAAATACCCACTGCCGATGATCAATGATTTGTTTGACCAGTTACAAAGAGCTAAGGTATTTTCGAAGATCGATCCGCGGTCAGGATATCACCAGCTGAAGATTTGGGAGAAGGATATACCTAAAACCGCATTTACCACAAGGTACGGGTTATATGAGTATACAATCATGTCATTTGGACTGACTAACGCCCCTGCCTATTTCATGAGCATGATGAACAAAGTGTTCATGAAATATTTGAATAAGTTTGTTGTGGTGTTCATTGGTGATATAATGGTATACTCAAAGAATGAAGGGGAGCACAAGGAGCATTTGCGTTTAGTTCTCGAGAAACTCAGGGAACATCAGTTGTATGCCAAGTTCAACAAATGTGAGTTTTGGTTGAAAGAAGTTGGATTCCTTGGACATGTTATATCAGGAGAAGGTATAGCAGTAGACCCCACCAAGGTTTAGTCTGTCACTGAATGGTTAGCACCCACTTCAGTTAGCAAGATCCGCAGTTTTCTTGGACTCGCAGGATACTACCGGAGATTCATTGAGAATTTTTCCAAGATTGCAAAGCCAATGACAGAGCTATTGAAGAAGGATACCAAATTTAAATGGATGGAAGAATGTGAAGCAAGTTTTCAGGAGTTAAAGAAACGTCTGACTACAGCCCCAGTACTGATTCTGCCGGATATACGCAAGGTTTTCCAAGTGTATTGCGACGCCTCTCGCTTAGGACTTGGAGGAGTACTGATGCAGGACGGAAGAGTTGTTTCATATGCCTCGCGACAACTGAAACCGCATGAGTTAAATTATGTCGTGCATGATTTGGAGTTGGCAGGTATTAAGGTCGTCGATCTTTTAGCTCCTTATCGACGTGGAGGAAAAATAGGACTATTGGGGGGGGGGGCTGGAGTAGGTAAAATAGTACTGATCATGGAATTAATCAATAACATTGCTAAAGCTCATGGGGGCGTATCCGTATTCGGTGGAGTAGGGGAACAGACTCGTGAAGGAACGCCGGAACCAGAAGTAAAAATTGTTGTGGATAGGGATCCTGTAAAAACAACTTTTGAGTAATGGGCCATACCCGACCATTTCTCAAGAACACTAGCTAAGGGCCCTGATACTACCACTTGGATCTGGAACCTACATGCTGATGCTCACGATTTCGATAGTCATACTGGTGATTTGGAGGAGATTTCTCGAAAAGTCTTTAGTGCTCATTTTGGGTAACTTTCCATTATCTTTCTTTGGTTGAGTGGCATGTACTTTCATGGGGCCCGTTTTTCCAATTATGAAGCATGGCTAAGTGATCCTACTCACATTGGACCCGGTGCTCAGGTAGTTTGGCCTATAGTAGGGCAAGAAATATTGAATGGTGATGTAGGCGGGGGTTTCCGAGGAATCCAAATAACCTCTGGGTTTTTTCAGCTTTGGCGAGCATCTGGAATAACTAGTGAATTACAACTCTATTATACTGCAATTGGTGCATTGATTTTTGCAGCGTTAATGCTTTTTGCTGGTTGGTTCCATTATCACAAAGCCGCTCGCAAATTGGCCTGGTTCCAAGATGTAGAATCCATGTTGAATCACCACTTAGCGGGATTATTAGGACTTGGGTCTCTTTCTTGGGCGGGGCACCAAATTCTAGCAAGAATTATTGCTGTAGGATAGTGGCTAGGAGGATTTGAAAGGCATTATGGAATTAAGATTTCCCAGGTTTAGCCAAGGCTTAGCTCAAGACCCCACTACTCGTCATATTTGGTTTGGTATTGCTACCGCACATGATTTCAAAAGTCATGATGATATTACTGAAGAACGTCTTTATCAGAACATTTTAAACACTAGGAAAAACCCATATGCGACGAAGATTTTTTGTTGCTGTCGGAATAAGAATAAGGCCAAATCCCATTGACATAATAACTGGAAGTGGGAGAAGAGGGATTACCCATGCATATACATAGTGCATGCGTTGAAGACTTGGAGACATTATCTTATTGGAAAGCATTGCGATGTATACACTGACCATAAGAGTTTGAAGTACATTTTCACACAGAAGGAGCTGAACCTTAGGCAGAGGAGATGGTTGGAGCTTATAAAGGATTATAACATGAAGCTTCACTATCATCTAGGCAAGGCCAACGTCGTAGCAGACGCTTTGAGCCGGAAGAGTTATGCCAACACACTCATAAGCGCAGGGTTGCCAAAGGAGTTGGCAGAGGATCTCAGGGAACTTCGATTGGAGATTGTCCCTAGAGGCTTTGTTGCAACAATGGAAGTTAAGTCTACATTGTTAGGAAAGATTCGAGAAGCTCAGAAGGATGACAAAGAGATCGCCGAGATAAAAGAGAGAATGGGCAAAGGAAAGGCCAAAGGTTTTCGTGAGGATGAACACAACACCTTGTGGTTTAAGGACCGTGTTTATGTGCCCAATAACACAGAGATCAGGAAGTTAATACTTCAAGAGGCTCATGACTCACCATACTCGATACACCCCGGAAACACCAAGATGTATGTGGATTTAAAGGAACGTTTCTGGTGGACTGGTATGAAGAAGGATATTGTCGAGTATGTAGCCGTATGTGATGTATGTCAGAGAGTGAAGGCAGAACATCAAAAGACAGCCGGATTGTTACAGCCTATGTCGATACCCGAATGGAAGTGGGATAAGCTTGGCATGGATTTCATCACCGGATTGCCCGGGAACAAATCAGGATATGATTCTATATGGGCAGTAGTTGATCACTTGACCAAAGTAGCTCACTTTATCCCAGTGAAAACCACATATACAAGTGCCAAGATTGGCCAAGATATACATGACCAGGATCATATGTTTGCATGGAGTTCCAAGGACCATTGTATCAGATAGAGGAACCCAGTTTACCTCAGTTGCATGAAACTTTGGGAACCAGACTGGAGTTCAGTACAACTTTTCACACGCAAACAGATGGACAGACCGAGAGAGTCAACCAGATTCTAGATGATATGCTGAGAGCTTGTGCACTAGATTATGGATCTAGTTGGGATGACAACTTGCCCTACGCAGAGTTCTCATACAACAACAGTTACCAGGCCAGTTTGAAGATGGCACCTTTCAAAGCCTTGTACGGAAGGAGGTGCAGGACACCGTTGTTGTGGGATGAAGTTGGAGACCGTCAGTTGTTTGGACCAGATTTGATTAAGGAATCATAAGAGAAGGTTAAATTGATTAGAGATAGACTGAAGGTAGCTCAATCCCGACAGAAGAGTTATGCAGATTCAAAATGCAAGGAGGTAGTCTATGAAATCGGAGACAGAGTGTATCTACGAGTATCACCACTCCGAGGAGTTAAGCACTTTGGAGTTAAGGGAAAGTTAGCGCCATGCTTTGTGGGACCATACAGAGTTTTGGAACGTATGGGAGAAGTTGCTTATAAGTTGGGATTTCCTGAAGGATTGTCAGGAGTTCACGATGTGTTCCACGTTTCTCAGTTGAAGAAGTGCCATGCAGAGATGGCTGGCATTCCTCTGAGAGATACATTACCGCTAGAAGCGATTCAGTTGGACAATGATTTGACTTATGAGGAGAAACCAGTCAAGATTCTCGAGTTTCCCAGCCGGGTTACCCACGGCAAGGTTATTAAGTTTTGCAAAATTCAGTGCAGCCACCATACCGAGGACGAAGCCACTTGGGAACGAGAGGATGATCTTCGCAAAGACCACCCACACCTATTTTCTAGCCAACTCGAATCTCGAGGGCGAGATTCATCTTAAGGGGGGTAGGTTTGTAACATCCCAAATTTTCAATTTGGAACTTTATACTTTAGGTCATCATTGCATATCATATTTTATTGCATTTTGGCTTGATCCTCGAAATCCTAAGCAACTCAAGGACCCTCGGAGAGAGAGTTGGGGATTTCACTGTTTTCATATTTGAATTTTATCAAATATTGAAACGAGGATTTTTGGTTTTAATTATTTTTCTCTCCGAAAATATTTCATGTTAAAATATATGAGAGGAGATAATATGACTTCTCCGAAATAAATGAAATATTGGAGGAAAAATATTAAAATCAAATATTTGATTTTATTCAGATTTTATTGCTATTTTATTTGCATTAGAAAAATTGCATGTTTTCAAAATTGCATTTTAGGGCCAAGAAAATGTTCATCTTGTTCTAAATATTTTATTTAGACGGTGAAAATTTGTTTTGCCATTTTTAGATTTTTATTTCTTTTTCTAGGATTTATGTTTGGCGGAATCTGTTAAAAAAACTTCTTCCGCGCGCGAGTGGGCCAAGGCCCAGCCGAGCCAGGCCGCCGACCCGCGCCGCGCCACCGCCTCCGCTGTGCCCCAGTCCGGCCAGGACTCGGCAGCCACCGCCGTCGCCGCCCGGGACACCTCCCCGCCCCTCCCGCAAGCCACCCCTCCTTTAAAAGCCGACCCGGGGCCCCCCTGGAGCCCCAAGCCGCAGCCGCCGCTGCCGCAAGCCGCCCCGCCGCCGCTTGCCGCTGCTACCGCCGCCGCGTCGCACCACCGCCGCCCCGCCACACCACCCGCAGCCCCACCCCAACCCGCTGGAGCCGCCGCGGAACCCGCCGGAGCCGCCGCCGATCCGATCCGGAGCCGTTGTTTTTTTCGGTTTAGGTAAAAACTGTTGGTTTTTTAAAAAAACCCTAGTTTTGGTTTTTTAGATCGGTTCGTTGGTTTTCTCAGTTTAGTTACTTAGCGGACGTTCATCCATACGTTCATTTTAACGAACGGTACTCACTCGTTAGCCACAGATAGCGAACGTCCGTTCGTTAGCCTGTTCGTCAGTTTTTCTTTTCTTGGATTTTTCACGGTTATTTTCGATCGCGATTTCTGATCCGATTTTCGGTTTAGTTTATCTTTTCGCTCATTTATTGGAATCAGGTGATTCAAGTGCCTAGATCTTCGTCTCGAAACCCTCTTCCCGTTTAACCAACTTGAACAAGATTTTGATACAGTAAAATTTGACTTTAGTCCAGATTAGTAATCGGATCTTGTTTCTTTCGCAATTTGAGTTTCGTTGCTCCGTTTGATTTAATTCTTTTTGCAAACCGGAGTTCTTAAGTTGAACTTTCTGGTTAGATCTTCTTATTCGTGTTTTACCCATGCGTCTTTGCTTGATTGCTTATGTATGCTATTGTTTGTTTGCGATAGAACACCCAGAGTGCGAAACGTGCTACTACGAGTCTCTAGGTTTTGCGGATCATCAGCAAGGCAAGTAACACTTTGATCATATCCCTTTATCACCCAGATTTTATGCATTAGTTTCAACCCTCAAACATTGCATGGTTAGGACTTGATAACATGTGGGATTGGGAAGTAGTTGATGAGGTAGGACCTATTGCCCTGTTATTATCAAACCCTTGGGAGTTACTTCTACGTATTGCTTATATTGCCATGCTATACTCGTAGATGTGATTTGGGTGAGTGAATCCATGACAGATGTGAGATTGTTAATTAATGGTTCAACTTAAGGTGGTAAATTTAATACACATCTGGGAGGATTGCTTGTCGGGCACCTGGAGAATCCAGTGTTGTCCTAGGATATCCCGGAGCACCCGTGTGATAATCGTAAGGTCTGCCACCCAGGATCAAAGGGAACTGAAATATTTCATGCTAGAAACTTCCGTGTGCAGCCACAAGCTATTATGGGCTCTAGCATACTTGAGTAACTTGCATGACCTCTTCCAGTGGTAGGCTAGCAGATGTAGAGGGGTGTAGGTTGGTACTGTCTACCCGGGGTTAGAGTTAATGTTTCTGAAAGACTGTGTCTCGGTCATCCGTTTCTCAAACACCAGGTAGTGCGAGAAATCCCTCGGGGGAGATCGAGTCTTGTGGGGAAAAGTGTGCAAACCCCTGTAGAGTGTACAAACTAGTCATGGTTAGCCGTGTCCCCGGTTATGGACATCTTAAGTATCTAGTACTTGGATTATCATATGTATCTCATGAATCGAAATTAATATTGTTGGGTTTATAATTACCTTTAATTGGGATTGAGTTGGAGGAACCTTCTTAATGATGTTTCAACTACCATGATAGTTAAATAAAATCTATTCGTTTGTTGTAGAAAAAAATTGGCTTTTCACAAAACTTTAACCATAGAGCTTTCCACCGGCTAAGTATGCATGTAGTGATAGCATTATTCAGTTCTTGCTCTACCGTGTTATTTTGCCAGCATATTCCATGTGCTGACCTGTTTCGGGCTGCAACGTATTATCTTGTAGACTTTTCAGACGAGGAGTAAGGTTCGTTTGGTCGTTGCCGTGCAGCTCAGCTATGCTATTGGAGTTGATGGACTCACTTTATCTTTCAAGCCTTCCGCTGTTATCGTATTAGATGGCCTTAAGCCATATTTATTGTAATAAGTTCTCTTTTGAGACATTCGATGTAATAAGTGTGTGATTGCTACTCTGTTATAAATCCTTGAGTGTTGTGTGTGTCAGCATTATCGATCCAGGGATGACACTGAAGCACAGAGACTTGACCGTTTGAGGTCGGGTCGCTACAGGAACCCAGTGTTGCCTGTATTTTTCTGGAAATCCTGGGGTACCGTGTGATTCTCCTATGGAGTGCCACCCAGGCTCAAAGGGATCATAAGATTATTCATGCTAGAAACTTCCGTGTGCAGCCACATGCCATTATGGGCTCTGGCATAGTTGAGTAA